TCGAAGCTCATCCCCATTCCCTTAACAAGCCGTCGGCAACCAGAGAGTAAAATTATCTCCGCCACAGTATGAAGTAGTAGTATGACACCATATTTGGCTACTTCTCATCAGCACCCTCATATCAACTCGTCAGAAGTTTTTTGCGACGAAAATGAGATGGCTATCATATACGCCACTGACAGAGGTATCCATCACTGTCACGGTAGAGGCATGAGGAGAAGTGTCCAGCAGAAAAACTTCAGGGTTCGTCAATTGCCCGAAATACTCCATGCACGGGATCTCTAGGATACCGACAGTTCATGGGAATGGGAAACATTCATCAATGAGGACTTGAAAATCGCACAGGCACGACGACCTTTCACTACCGCAGTAAGCCTTTTGGAGGGTATTCCAAAATTTTTACGGATCTAATTTCATATACGAGTTCGTTTTCATTTTTATTGGGAGCTCGTTCTCCTTTTTTTCTTAGAATTTTATTGGGAGCTCGTTCTCCTTTTTTTCTTAGAAAGCGAAGTTTCTCCTCAGAAATCTGCCAAAAAGCATCAGCTGTCCGCCGTTTGTTGGCTGCTTCAAACCCTGCCCCCTGATGTAAAGACCGCCCACCACCCTGGGTCATACCAATAAGGCGTCTTCTTGTGACTCGAAAAATGTTACAACCACTTGAACGAAGAAGTGTTAAAACCTCAAAGATCAACTGTTACAACCAAAACTCTTCCAAGGTATACGAAAACGACTGGCGATGGTTTTACCCAATATGGGTGGTTTGGACCCACCTTTGAGTTTCCTCTGAGATACCAGGAGATTTTCGTATTCATATAGCCCAAAGTCAACTAACTCACCAACGGCACACTTCAAAAATGAGTTTCTGGGACCTCTTCATTACACATTATTGGCACAGAACCGTGTGGCCACCATATTCCCCTTTGAAGTATGACTTTTCCCCTGTTTTAGCCCTTCTCTGTTAGTTTTACCCAAACTCTGTTGGCTGAGAAGCGCTCGCACCATGACAATCCCCTGGTTGTCTCCTATGCTGGTCGAAACCAGGGAAAATCTCAAGCAATGGGGGAGTTTGCTTCAATAAACCCGCTGTAACGCTGGTAAACTGCAGGATAATAAATTGTCTCCAATGGTAAACTCGTCCGTCAACCTCATAAACCCCCAGAACCCCTTCAAAACAGCGCATTCGAAAAGCACGCTCACTAACGGGAATGCCCGTATTCTTCAAAAATCCACGGCGGAACCTTCAAAAACAATGTCCGCCAAAGTCAATAATTACAAAATTCATAGGATATCATCTATATTAAATGATACGGGCTCCCATATGTTTCCCATAGAGCTATTAGTCTTTCGAGACTGCAGCTGCCAGATGTAAGCTGTGTGGAGGAGGTGGAAGTCCCATCAAATTGCAAGGGCGACGCCGAGACTCAGCCGTGCTGCTGGTTTTTGACAAATTGTACCCATAGACGATTGATTAACGACACTATCCATACATCAACTATGTATATGCCGAACGGCGGAATGAATCTACGAGAAAAAGCCCAGGCTCCAAAGACCCGGGGTTTTCCAATACCCTAATGAATGTATATACCACCCTCTTAACTTAATTTGCATGGCTTATGGACTAAAAACGACCGGCCCATGAGATTAACCCAAAAGAAACAGAACTGAGACGTTCTGGGTTCATTAAAAGCCGTTCAAACAGCCTTTCCCTTGCCAAGTTCGCGTTTATTGGCTTGGTTTTATTTGAAAACACATAAATCGCCNTTAACGACACTATCCATACATCAACTATGTATATGCCGAACGGCAGAATGAATCTACCCAAAAAAGCCCAGATTCCAAAGACTAGGGATTTTCCAATACCCTAATGAATGTATATACCACCCTCGTAACTTAATTTGCTTGGCTTATGGACTAAAAACGCCCGACCCATGAGATTAACCCAAAAGGAACAGAACTGAGACGTTCTGGGTTCATTAGAAGCCGTTCAAACAGCCTTTCCCTTGCCAAGTTCGCGTTTATTGGCTTGGTTTTATTTGAAAACACATAAATCGCCCAAATGGGCAGTCGACTAAGGGTGCTCAAAAATAATCCCAAGGGAAAATGGGATGTTGACTACGATTTTTCCTCAAAAACAAACAGAGGATTATACTATAACGCTAAACATATCAAGAAGTGTAGTCAACAAAAACGGGCTTGTTCGGGGGCTCCCACAAGCCTAACAAATGGGAACCTGGGAAGTCGGGCACCGCGGCTACCTGGTCTATTCGGAGTTGGACTAGAGAACCTCGACACTTAAAAGTACCAACGTAACCAGGTGGTTTGAATCTAAAAGCACCCAGTCAGGGAAGAACGGCAGCTGGCTGATATCTTAAGGGGCTAGCGTTATCTCAGACAAACACCCATTAGAATGTGAAAATACCTGGCTAAAACTAGCCTTTACTGGAAAAAGGACATATTCATGGTCACGCAACTACGCCCATGTGTGCGTCCTGGTCCCCTCCATTTTCTAACAGTAATTGGAGGTGAATCCAAAATACTTACAGGAACGAACCCTTAAAAGTGGTTAAATTGTGTCCGCTGGTATTCCCAGCTCATCAGATTCTCTTATCAAGACCTAGCGAGACCGAAAAATCAATATCGATCGATAGTCTAACTTGCTATTAATGGGTTTAATGCGCTAGATTTAAACATTTTATTATTGATACTTCAATCAGAGATATTTTCCAATTTTACAAAAATACGGTAAAGCCTGCAAGGATACTGTAGTAGCCAAAAAGGGTAGCCAACCTCGAAGATGTTTGCATTTATACTCCTCGTATTCTCGTACCGCCACCGGATCGGTAAGCTGCCACCTTTCACACTCTTCCAAACTGCCATTCATCATACCCAAACCGAAATATGAATCTGAACCGCATGAACCAACCGGTATGTCACTGAAAGGTAGAATCGATCAGTTGGGATGCGGAATCGCTGACTATAAACGAAACAGACTGCAAACCTGATTTTCACCAAAAAAGCTCCGGTACTATCTTTTAGTTTAGGTCGTTCGGCCGACACATAAACAGCAATAACAGCACTCAACAGCAAAACTAGCCTCATCGTGTCCTCTGTAAAAAATCGATAAATGCGATCGATAAGGGGCAGTAACGATAGGTCGCGAGAAGGAGATACAAAGTTCGAGCGACGGGTGAATGACAAGTTCTACGATCGATCAACGTGGATATCAGCAAATCTTTGATATGTGACTACAAAGTACACTTTCGCAGTTTCTCACGACACCTCACCCTGGCTGTTCCCGGGCTGTTCCCGAGCATTGAAAAGATAAATATCAGTATTCTTCGGGCTTTTTTCGGGACGTTTTTTGGTTTTCTCCAAAAAAAATCCGAAGCACCATCGATTAATCCTTCAACGGGTGCGAAGTCCTGATGGACGTGAGCGATGGAAGAAAATCGGAGGAAAATGGGAGGAAAAAAGACGAGTTTCTTAATTCGGTCCAGAAAAATCATAGGTGGAACGCAAAGGGGACGTCTAGGCATGTGGAATGTGGGGAATTTCGGTATGGAAGCAAAAATTCCCGAAAAGTTACTTAGATATGAGCGATTCGAGCGGAACATGAGTAATGGGCGTCTCATGGGCGTCGAGTAACGAAACTGGGGAGGTTGGGTAAAGAGTGAGCTGAGTTAGGAAGGTGACAGCTGTATTTTAATTAGAGGAAGTCAGAGGTCATTCGCCATCTCATAAGGGAGTTCCTGAGAAGGTCCCGCTTGGCCCTGGGACCTTCTCAGGAACTCCCTTATGAGGGAGGGAATGACGAGGGGCTAGCCTGAATCAGAAGATGTTTCCTAGCCGTTTGGGAGATGAAAACGCTTCCATTGACGTATACAAATGAGGGATTCAATCTGGGGAAGATATGTAGGTAATGCCCCCGACCAACGAGCGTAATATGAGATGTGCGGCTTAAAAAGCGGCCTATGAGAAGTGCCTCGATTGAATGACGTGAAGACGTGAAAAATGAGCTCAGACGTGAATCATTTCTTTTGTGGAAGGGAATTTCTAAATATAGCCTCTGGATAAAGCCTTTGCAGGAAAAACGGGGGAATTGGGAGCAACGGAGGCTGGCAGGGGCCCTAAAACCGCTTGCACTGCCCCAACGAAGGCATTCGATTTGAAGGAACCGAAGACCACGAAAAAAAACGAACCGAAATGGAAACGGGACCAGCACGAGAGGAGGCAGCAGACCGGCCGCCAATTGCTGGGGAGTTTCTCTCCCCATCTCGTGCACTGCAAGAATTCCCTAACGAGAATTCTAATTAGAACAGAGGAAGAGACGAGGAGGACAGACGAGTTTCCAAAGTAAACTGGAGGAAAAGAAAAGAATTGGGGGGAAGAACGGGCCCGACGCCGGCCCATCGCTGCTGACTGCTGAGATTACGAAATTCTAGAAAAAGAAATTCTCTGGTATCGGGGGAAATACTCTGGGAGCGAGGGGCTGAACAGCAGTTTTCAAGGGGAACGAGTTAACAGATGTTAAAATGAGACCATGAAAGTACCATTTCTCGAGTGAACATTGGTCCAGTAAAATCCCGGGGTGTAAACATCGGGAGAAAATACCATCGAATTACTTCCCACTTCATGTTATGGGAGCAGCTGACTTTTGAGATTTGGTTCGAAATACAAAACAGTAAGGGCATAAATAGTAAGCATGTGCTCACAGAAACCTGACAAGATACCTAAGAATTCTGAAAAAAAAGAAAATAAACAGTAAACAGATGATTAGAGAACCGGGAAGAAGTGAAGAAAAGCCAATTCATGGCCTAATTGGTAGAAAAGAAGGATTGGGAGCACGACTAAAGGGCCTAAGGAAGGGCCTAAGAGAGTCTGAAGACAAGCGGAATGTCCGGAGTGGAGCACCTCTAATTTAACAAGTTTTGGGATGGAAGGTGACAATTTCTCCGGAAAAAGAGATTTAGAACCGAAAAAAGAAATTTAGAACTGTTCGTAGCCCCAAGTCTGTAAAATAAAATGAATTTTTCACAAAAAAAGAAGTCCCGAAGCTCTATAAGGGCTTACCTCGTGAAGTAATGAACGTGAAAGCAAGAGAGAAAGGTGAGAAATCGAACCCGAGGAGTTTACTAGTAAATGACCCTCCGTGAGTAGTGAAAACTCTTTGTAGTGGAGAAGAGTAGTGCACTCCAGCAAAGACCAACAGCAGCTGTTGTGTGTGAAACAAACAAAAAAGAGGTTGTACTGAATAGAGAATGAAGAAGAGAAAGAATGGGGGAAGGAGGAAAAAAGGAGAAGAATGAAGAAAACGAAGGATTGCCCCTAATACTACTACTCTACAAAACTCTTTGGGTTGATTGTCCCGGAAACGACTCATTGACAGAACTTTTTGGAATGTTCGGGAGAATTTCCATGGGCATGGAAACATCTCGAACACCACGAAGGGGCGGTACACCAAAGCAATCTGGACAAAATTCCATGAATAGACAATGAGTGGAAAAGAGGCTTCTTGCAGATGAGAAAAAGGAACGGAGGAAAAGCTGGGAAACACCGTAAGAAAGGCCTACGTGACGTGGGGAAATATGCCCGAGAGGATCGGAAAACTATAACGGTCAACGTTGGTGCACTGAATGAAAGTCACTTTTTCGGTTTTGCGAAAGGGGCAGAGAGCGACAAGAGGAGGACGAGGGAGAAGGGTGTAGCGATGTGCGGGTGTGGGACGGAGAGAGGGGGGAAAATGTGCAGAAAGCGCAAAGTGAAGAACCGAGCAAACCTGACTAAACTCCCTGCTATTCACCCGAGAGCTTGAAGTGGGCAAACAAAGACACGTCCAACAGCAGCAATTTTGAGAGATTACTTGTCAATATTACCAGAAGAACCGCCGAATCAGCCGAGGACATTTCTTAAACTAAATTTATGCCCAGGATAACTCACTCGGGCAACGCCCTATAATCTATTTGGGCCCCCAGATTATCAGATTGGCAAAACCACTACGGGTGAATTCAGGGGCAAGTTCATCGTAAATTGGGGGTTTCTTTCAAAATAAAAGCAGATTCGGACATTGGAAAGTCAAAAACTCGAACTTTTCAATCACAGAGGGTCAAGGGTCGTAGAAGCGGGCACGTTCAAGTGGGGATGAAGCTCCGGGCTCTTCCGGTGGGACGGACGAACGGACAACGGACGAAGATGCTCAGCTGGGCCAATGTAAATAGAGAGAACAAACCGTGAAGGTTGGAACGGAACGGGGATGCCTTTGTTGTTAACAGGACACTCCACACGACGAATCTATAATGAGCAGTCAATAATGCTCACAAAACCCCCCGCCGTACGGCGGCTACGGACAGACGGACGGTTTTTCCCAGTACAGTATGCCACGGAAGAAGGAAAAGTGCAATCTCCTAGATGGAATTGTAGTAAACAAACAATTCACTGGGGAATACCCAGCTAGTCAAAGGAGAGTGAGAAGCAATCGTCTAAAGGAGAGACATCAACATCAAGACAGGCAAATCACTGTGGCTTAGATTTCGAAATGCTGGATCGACAACATATGACGCGTGGGTCCTCCCACGAACGTTTGACGACGGTGTTGTCAGGCGAGATGGAAATTAATTCATTGGGAATTACTCAATTGTTGTTGTCCCGGGTGGATCGAAAAGAAAGCGAACAACTGGGGCAAAACAGAAACAGAGAAATTAAGCAGGTGGGTCGAGCGATTGGCTCCCAAGCCTCAACAGAAATAATTTGGGAACGAGGGAAATTGAGCGAAATGGCTCATGAAAGGGTTTTTGCGGGACCTAACGCCCGAAACCCGAAATGAAAACATGAAAAGGTCCTGTTACACACCCACCCGGACGTCAACCAGCCCGGGACATCTCATGCTTCATTGCGAGGCGCGAATGAACAGGCGGAATGTTATGTGGCACACGACAACCGATGAAAATCACACAGCAAAATACACTCCCAAGGCCAGATAAACCATAGTGCAATCGGGAAGAGTCCGGGAGGGCAGGTCGGTAGAGATAGAGGTGCCGGGAGGAGTTCAGGCGCAGGGGGAACTCCTAATTACGTACACAAACACATCACGAACGAACAGCAACCATTTTAGGGCCTGGGAGGTGAGGAAGGGCGACAGAGGAAGGACACATCACGGACGGCATTTTTTCCCCCACATAATGAAAACCCCGCAAGATGCATAACATCCACCCGGCCAGCCGTAAAGGCGGCCGGCAACCATCAGTGAGTGGCCAAAACAACGGGTGAAACGGGAATTTTTCCTTGACCTTGATGAGGGGATAGGGGAAAAAATGGGTTCTTCTTTGGGACCTGAGAAAGTCTTCAAATTTATGGGAAAGGGAGCGGTTCGTATGGGACAAAGAGAACAACGACCTGAACGTCTCTGAAGAACCCGCGATGGTATGGGACCATGACGGACACGGAGAGGGACTCCCCGGGCGAGACTCATATTTGAAAGCTGTGTGTTGGCGCGGCATCACTGATCGATACCCCACAGAATACGAAGCGTGTCGGAAGGCGCCGAGCACGAAAACATGCTCAAAGTTCGGAGCTCGATCCTAGGAGGAGGAGGAGGAGGTCCTCTGGGAGGGTGTGCCCGATGGGCGTGCATGTAGACGGATGCTGCTGCTGAAGTCAGGCTCGGTCTGAGTCTCCCACAGTGCACAGCAGTCCAGTCGTCGTTTGGAATGAAGTTGGAAATCGCCATGGTCATGGCCATGCCGGCGCAGACTATCGCCCGGATTATCGAGACTGAAGTTGACAATTTAGGAGGGAAAAAAGGCTGAAAGAGCAGCAAAGCATGCCTAGCAAGCATGCCCGTCACTCAGTCAGCCTCGCGTGTATCGATCCTCCTCCATAAATGGAGTTGATGCTCATGCAAATGCTCCCGGATGTGCTAGGCTGGCTCCGGATGGTTGTGACTCCCCCAGAACAAGTTTACCCGTGCCCACTATGTGAACCAGCGGCCCTCTCGGAGCCCCCTCTCAAACACCACTCATCGACGCTCCTCTGAATAAACCAGAGACGGCAAAAACACGATTTTGTACTTAGACGACATCCAATTTAAGAGAGCGAGGAGGCAAAATCGAAGAGCTATCGGCGTCAAGCGAGGAATGCCGAGGGTCGGTCGCGAAAACAATCGGGTTCAGTTCAAAATTTAATCCTGTTCTGATTGCTTCCACCCCCGACTGGACGGACCGTTGCAATGGAAACAGGTTTTCATTTCTGACCGCATAACCAGTCCCGTGAGGGTGCAAAGTTGCGGAAACTCGGGATTTCCAAGATGAATCCAAGGATT